AAAAAAAAAAAAAAAAAAAACACGATTTTTCTCTTCTTCTTTCCCAAAATTAAATTATTCCCTGTTATTTTCAGAAAATATTCTTTCCGAGTTGTAGCTTGAGGACTTCGTTTTATTAATATATGGTCACTGCCGAGCACAAATTCTCTCCTATGCTGTAATAAATCTCGAGTGCTCTCCAACCTCAACGGCTCAAACAAATTATGGAATGTTTGTATTAATTTTCTCTTTCTCTCTCTTTGTGTGTGTGCTGGTTTTGATTCTCTTTTCTGTTTGCTGATGAAAAGATTGCTTTCTTTTACTTCTCCTTTTCATAGATGCCCACTTTTCTTTTTTCCGAGTTTTCTTTTTGAGCTTCTAGGCTGGTTCACACATACACATAAACATAAAGATTCCATTTTTAACCTTGCCCTTTTTGTAGTATAAATAGAAGGTTGTCCAGGTTTAAGGTGTCCTCATTGGGTTCAAGTTTCTTGAGAGTTGTATTTTTTCATTAAGGGAATTCTTAGAGTTTTATCTTCTGTGTACAAAATGAGCTATTCAAATTCATCAATGGGTTCTGGTTAGTTGCTTTTTTTTTTGTTTGTTTTTTCCCCCTTGTATTTGATGATGGTATTTTGAGCCAGTGTCTGCATTGTGTTTGATTATATGTCTGCATAATGTAAAAGACCCAAAAGGATTTTTATTGCTTTTGAAGACTGAGATAGACATATTTGGGTAGTTCTTGTTCCATATTGCTCATAGTACTCTGTTTCTCTATGTTGTTTTGTTATCCTCAATTCTTGCAAGTGAACTTCTGTTATATTCATGTGTGTATATATATCTCAGGGAGTAGAACAAATAGAACATTAGAATTTGGGAGGACTTATGTGGTTAAGCCTAAAGGAAAACACCAGGCTACCATAGTTTGGCTGCATGGGCTCGGTGACAATGGTTCCAGGTATGATCTCTTGGTTGTATATGTTATATAATTAATGATAAAACTATTTTAGTCTATCTAATTAATGATAGAATAAAAGATTGAGCCCTTTTGTTTTGGCAAAAGAAAAAGGGACCACAAGAAAAACTTGAGCAGCTGTGCTAAGATTTAATGACTAGGTGGACTTGTGGAGGATTGGTTTGAGTTTGAAAATGTGATATAATCCAGGCTAGAAAAAAACTGCTTCTTAGGTTGATCAGTAATGTGGGAAATTGGAGGTTGAAAAATTCTTTGGCTGGAAAAAAGTAAACAATCTTAGTTAGTGTGAATGTTAATTTTATGCTGTCCAGACGATTTACGGCAGCAAAATCATTTTTATTTTTTTTGGTAATTCTTATCTTTGACAATAGTATGCACTTTATGGCCAAGTGGTTGTGTAAGCATGGGCTTTATATCACTAAAGGGAGAGTAAAAGTTAATATGAATGAGATGTCAATGGCTATAGAAGTCTTCTTTTGCAAACCCATTCTGTGATAAAAACACTTTACTTGAGAATATTCCTACAATGGTTAAATTGATGGAAAATAAAGTTTTTTAATTGAGGGTTCTGCAAAACTTGAAAGAACTTGAGCTTTTTCACTTTTATTTGGAAAAAGAATATCATTTCTTAGAAGTTTTTGCCAATTAAAGTTCCCTTTGTGCTTTATTTCTTGTCTCTTCTGATTCTTGGCCTAGTAAGAAAATCTTGAAGCAAATGGTATTTATGCTTCTCTTTTGAAATGTTTATGTGGGTCCGCTAATACTCGTTTAGTCCTTTAGCTCACTAAAGAAGTAAAAGGAAGTTTACCTTTTTCCAAAATTGAAAAAGGACAAGATTTTTTGTGTAATTAAGGCCTCACAAATTATCTTGATTAAAAGATTTAAATGTTCATCTTTTCTTTATTGGTGAACTTTAACTTCACTTCCTACCCATTCTTGCCTTTACTCTTCTCCGTTCACAAGGTAATTTATGCTGGCATCAACTTCCATCTTTGTAATATGGTGTTTCTAAAGTTCTCTCCTTTAGGATAATACAGATATGCACTATTTGCTATTTAGTTTGTCTATTGCCATTATTTTGTGACATATAACTTATAAGTTAACATGGAAGCTACACACTCATTTTTTTTATTTTTTATTTTTTTCATTTTCTGTGTTTTTTTATGCAGTTGGTCACAACTTTTGGAAAGTCTCCCCCTTCCAAATGTAAGCATTATTTCTTTACAAATAATTCTACCTTTTTTTTTTGGATGTAACTTTTGAAGTATAGGTGTTCAGGTGTTGTAAGTTAGCAGTTAGCACCTTCATAATAATAATAATAATAATAATAATAATAATAATTCTCAGTCTTTTCAATGCTTGAACTTAATTATGCAGATAAAATGGATATGTCCCACAGCTCCCACTCGCCCTGTGGCTATACTCGGTGGATTTCCTTGCACAGCTTGTAAGTAAAACTAAAAGACTGTTTGTTTTTTAGCTATGTAATAACTATAATTTTTTTTAAAAAAAAATTCTTGTTAATTATGGTGTTTTGTATCAGGGTTCGATGTGGGGGAGCTTTCTGAAGATAGTCCGGATGATTTCGAAGGCTTAGATGGCTCGGCATCACATATTGCTAATTTGTTGTCTACAGAGCCTGCCGACAGTAAGATTCTCTGCTGTTAAAATTGCTATATGTTTAAATTGTCATTTTCAAGATCTTATATTAACTATAGATAATAAAGCTACCTTTCTATTTAAACTTATAGATTCTTCTTCTTTATTTATTAGTGACAAGGATATATTTGCCTTGCTTCTAAGCGGCAATTTTTACCTACAATTTGAAATGGTTTACCCTATTCTAGTTAAACTAACTGTTGCAAACAACATTTTGTGAAAAGAGGGAAGATAATAATTGTTGTATTTTAATTTCTATTATTTTCTTTTCGGTTTTTTGTAATCATGTTTAAACTTACTTTCCTGTTCAACAAAAACAACAAGAAATCAAAGATTCGAACATGGTTATTATTATAAATTTTGTGATAAAAAGAATTTTTGCTTTACCAATTTCAGTTAAACTTGGTATTGGAGGCTTCAGTATGGGTTGTGCAATGGCTTTGTATTCTGCAACTTGCTTTGCGCAGGGAAAATTCGGCAATGGCTTCCCATATCCTGTTAACCTTCGAGCCATTGTTGGCCTAAGTGGTTGGCTTCCTGGTGCTAGGTATATATGCTTCTACTTTATTGTACCTTCAAAGGATTCTCGAGCTTTGCTTTTGCTAAATCAAAAACAAACCGAAGATATATTTCGAAATCGCAAATGAGTGAAATCGCAAGTGAGATGAGAAACTTTATAGGAAAATGTGATTGTACGTATTGAATCTCGTCGAGACTTTGCCATATATCAATAAATTTTTATGGTTTGGCTTTTAATTGATATTCTTCAACATTTTATTATTGCAGAAGTGTTAGAAATAAGATTAACGGATCACACGAGGCTGCAAGACGTGCTGCATCTCTGCCGATTTTGCTATCACACGGACTATGTATGCATTGTATTTTTCCTTAAAACATTTCTTTCGATCAATTGCCGAAAAAGGTCAAACAATTTTAAAGACGTAACAAACTTCGTAAATTCATTTTGGAAATGAGGATTTATCAAAACTTTAATGTATCTTCCGTGTGTGCATATTTTTCCATATATCGGCCTCATTATTAGCTTTCTTTTAATAGGTGATGAAGTTGTTCCTCACGAACATGGAGAAAGGTCCTACCATGCATTGAGCTTAGCCGGTTTTCGAAATCTTTCATTTAAAACCTATGAAGGGTATTCACACAACATTTTTTTTTTTTTTTTTTTATNATACAATTTGTTATCGTAAAAATCCGGAGTTGAGTTGATTACTAATATTGTTGTGCTCTCAACTTTTAGGATCGGTCACTACACTGTGCCTAAGGAGATGGATGATGTTTGTCAATGGTTAAACACAAGGCTCGGACACTAAAAAGATCGTGATCAACGGTTCTGATTGAAGGGCCGGATTAAAGAGTTACAGAGAGTTTAGTTTTTTATTACAGTTTTGACTACTATTTTTAACAGTAATATAATAATAAAGGTTATGTCTATGTATTGCTATTTTAAATTTTGAACTGTTGAGAGGGATTTGTTGTGTAAGATTTAGAGTGATGCATCTGGTGTTCAATGAGTGTGTTTTTCTTCTATGAGTCATTGGCCTTCTTTTCTTTCTGGAGTGTTCTTTAAAGTTTTTGTGATGTTTATTGATGATATGATGATTTCAGTGAGTTCTTTCACAAATTATTGGTGTTTATGTGATTAAAAATCTGATTATTGTAAAATGAACAACATAAATGCTCGAAGCAACAATTTTTTTTCAATTTTTTTTTATTTTTCTTATTTATGTAGTTACCAATCATATATTAAATTATCATATATCATAAAATAAAAGAAAAATTATTATCAATATTTAAAATTATTTTTATACTAATTAATATCCCTTCATTGCTTTAATTGCATCGCACGGGCTACCTACTAGTTATATATAAGGCTACCTACTAGTTATATATAACTAGTTTAATCAAAAATAAGTTTCCATAATCAGACAAAATACTGTATTTTTGCATGATTTTTGCATTACAAAAATCACTTGAGGGTGCGAGGTCTCTAGCAGCATATCAGAACATAACACACACAGAGTTATATATACATGGATTAGTGTTAGGATAATCTTCTGGTTCGAGTAGAATTGTCATTTTGCAGATTGGCTTAATTACATCATTTCAGGCAAAACGAACTTTTTCTTTGAAGCCCTTTCAGGCGGAGATGAAACTGATAGGCTTCCTCTTGAGAGCTCGGATTCCAGAACTTGAGCTTCTTCAGAAAGCGCTTTTAACTGTGTTTCGATTGAAGCAAGAATGAAATTATCAAATTTTTATTTAAATTTCATGTTAATTATCTTGAAGATAATATTAGTTTGTGTTACATAAATTAAGTAGTGGAAATACAATTGACGAAATTTTTTAATTTGTGCATAACACCGTTCTCTTGTGTCAAAATCGCACGACCAAAGAAAAAAGGGGGAAAAGAACCAAAAAAAGATCACCTGAATTTCGTTTTCTCTCAAACGATCTTGAAGAGCTGTGATGGCAGGACTTAAGCTGCATGTGGAGC